ATTCTTTACAGAGAGGAAAGGAGAGAGATAAAGAGTTAGAAACACCGACGAGAGAGAAACATCAATTCAGTTGCCTCTTGCACACTCCTTACTGGGGATGTGCCCATAACCAAGGTACATGCCCTTAACTGGAATCGAACCTGGGACCCTTCAGTCCGCAGGCTGACGCTCTATCCACTGAGCCAAACTGGTTAGGGCGACAACATATTTTTGTTGATTTCAGAGAGGAAGGGAGAGGGACAGAGAGATAGAAACATCCATGATGAGAGAGAGTCATTGATCAGCTTTCCCCATCGCCTGAGGCAGCTGATCCCTGATTCTCTCTCATCAAGGATGTTTCTATCTCTCTCTCCCTCTCCCCTCCTCTCTGAAATGAGTGAAATAATATTTTTTAAAATCCAGAAAAGAAAAGAAGAAAGAAAGAGAGCCACTGCCGATGGAGTGAGCTAAGTTAAGAAGAGGCCACTCGGGATGCTTAGACCCGGGAGGACTTGGCTGGGATTTCCCTTTGTTTTCGGGGCCTGTGACAGCCCGAGCCCGGGCGCCCAGCCAGCCAGGCACAGGGGAACCCTTCGTTATCCATTTTCCTGCAGGAAGGAAGGAGTTTCAGGACATTTTTAAAGCGATGGGGAAAGCTTTTGGTTGTTTTGTTTTTTCGCTCTTGAAGGAGTAAAGTTGTGTGAGATAATGACACATAAGGTTTCCACCCTGAGTTAGGTTTCCACCCTGAGTTAGGATAATGACACATAAGGTTTCCACTCCTCTTCCAGCCGCTGGTGCAGGATTTAGTTGGCACCCGCATTGCTCCCTGCTTCAGCTGTGGGTCGGAGCGGAGAGAGCTGTTCTCCCAGCAGACCAGTAGACCCATCAATTACAAAGTTTATGCCTTTAAAACGTTTTGATAGGTTCCCTTGGGAAACCGGGGAGTTTTCAAACTGTCAGCCTAAAGCCATGGAAAGTTTCTATTTAAACGCTGTTTGCAACTCCTTGAATGAAAAAGTTGGATTTTTAGGTAAAGGCACCATTGAGATTTTTTTTAATGAGGCAAATAAATTCTTTCTGCACTATAGGGCAGTGGTCAGCAGACATGCGGCTCTTTGGCCCCTTGAGTATTTAGCAAAGGCCAGCTTCGGAGTACCCTAATGAAGTTAATAACAATGTACTTACCTATATAGTTTAAGTTTAAAAAATGTGGCTCTCAAAAGAAATGTCAATCGTTGTCCTGTTGATCTTTGGCTCTGTGGACTAATGGGTTTGCCGACCACTGCTCTAGGGAAAACAGAAGCTATCTGGACAGGTCCTCATCCAAAGGGCCCCATGTCCTTACGAAAAGGGGAATTTGGGTACTTGACATGCACACAGGGAGAACGCCAGGTGAAGATGAAGGCAGAGATCGAGGTGGGGCTTCTACAAGCCAAGGAATGCCAAAGATGGCCAGCAAATCACTAGCAGTGAGGCCAGAGGCCTGGCACCGATGCCCTCTCACGGCTCTCGAAAGGAACCAACCCTCCCCACACTGCTCTCAAACTCAGGGAGCCCGTTCACCTGCGCTCATCAAAGGCCAATACACGGGGCTTTGTAGCTGAGAAAACGGTGCTGCACCGAGTCACAGGTGGGCTCATGCTCAACGACCTGGGGATGAGCTCTGCAGGGGAAAGCCATCAGTCATGGTGGAGCTCGGGGTGTGGTTACTGCGATGGTTAGCACTGGGTAGGGGGGCAGTTGGTCATTGCATCTGGTCCTAATGCCAGCCATGGGGCTGTTCTGTCTGGTTCTGCAAGGGTGTGGTCGTTCGTTAGTGTGAGAGTTGTATACACCCAGAGTGTTAAGCATTTTGAAAACTTTAAACTCGCTGTCCTCTCCTGTTAAAAAATAATCTGAGGGCAGCTCTTGGACCCTCCAAGCCCCACCTTTATCTCTGCCTTCATCTTCACATAGCGTTCTCCCTGTGTACGTGTCAGTGTCCCAAACCCCTTTTTTTATAAGGACTTGGGCCCTTTGGATGATAGTTTGTTAGCTCTCACGGGCCTGGGGAAACGGGCCTGTTGGTGTGTTTTAAACTCTGCGTGGGCCTGTCTCTCCCTCACTTCCTCCTCTATGGCTTTTGTCTAATCTCAGCTGCTCTTGGCAGCCCTGGTTTGTATTTTGAAGGCCATGGGTATCCGCTCCTCGTTTTGCGGAACATCGAGTTCACTGACTTGGCATTCTTCTCGATGCTTCTGTAAGATTTAAAGGAGAAGAAACAGAAAGATGCTAAACTTGCTGTGTGCACGCCAGGAGTCCTTATGGTTAAAATGTAATCCCACAGCCCAAGTGGTGATTTTAGCCAAGTGCACAGAAAGTAATTTTCCCACGGTGATAATTACATAGTACTTTTCATCTTCAAGATACTTGGGCAGCACTTACCAATTACTCCTTTCAATACCTTGGAGCAATTAAAAATAGAAACCTCATGTTTAATTTGGCTAAAGGAGATAATTACCAATGTTAGCAGACAAGAAATACCTTGAGGGACTGGAGATGAATAAGGAAATCCTGGTAGGAATATTCAAGGCATGATTGCTTCTGCTTTCATCAGAGCAAAGAAATTAAAGCTTCATTAGGAAGCAGATCTCATTTCCATTTTACAGGTGGAAAAACAGATTCAGACAAGCTTCTTGTCCAGGCAAATGCTGACTAGCCAGGTATCCAAGCTGTTAATGTGAGAGTTGTGTAAACCCGCACTATTAAGCATTTTGAGAACCCTAAATTTACTTTCCTCTTCTGTTAAAAAATAATCCGAGGGCAGCTTTTAGTACCTCTAAGCCTCCACTTCAAATGTCATTAACCATTGTCTACTATGGTGGTTAGAAGGATTAGGTTACTGATACTCAAACCTGTTGGTCTCAGAACCCTTCACACTTCTAAAAATCATAGAGGACACCAAGAGCTTTTATTTATATGGGTTATTGCTATTGAGAGTTACCATACTAGAAATTAAAATTGAGATGATTTAAAATATGAATTGATTTAAAAAATAACAATAATCCATGATAGGTTAACATAAAATAATCTTATGGAAAATAACTATATTTTCTAAAATTTACAAGAGGAATGAGGAGAGTGACATTATTTCATATTTATATGAAAATCTCTTTAATGTTTGGCTGGATAACAATAATAGCTCGATTCTCACATGTGCTTTTGCATGCAATCTGTGATATGTTCTTTTAGTTGAAATATACAAAGAAAATTCAGTAGCGCACACATATGTACCTGGAAAAAGGAGTATTTTAATAGCCTTTTTATTTATTTTGTCTTTAAAAATATATTTTATTAATTTTTTTGCAGAGAGGAAGGGAGAGGGAGAGAGAGCTAGAAATATTGATGAGAGAGAAACATCAATCAGTCGCCTCCTGAACACCCCCCACCAGGGATATGCCCGCAACCAAGGCACATGCCCCCTGATCTGAATTGGACCTGGGACTCCTGAGTCCACAGGCTGATGCTCTATCCACTGAGTCAAATCGGCCAGGACTTAATAGCCCTTTAGATATTCGTGGCTATTCTTCTTTGATTCTACACTAAAATTTAGTGAGTAGTAGCTCCCTAAAGTTCAGTTACAATGTAGACTATGAAACCATATCAATGACCTTGTCATAGTTACATTAACAATGACTGGCTCTTTTCCTATGCATGGTTTTGAAACTTTGTGCCTTGGTTACCTGGGAAATGTTGGTTCACTGATGCAGGAAGGATGCTCAACCAACTGAGCCACACTGGCAGTATTTTTTTTTTTTTTAAAGGGAAAGAGTCAAAAATCCCTTGAAAACAAAATCAACAAGTGTCAAATGTTTTATTTACTCATTAAGGAGACAAGTAAGATGTTAGAACCAGGTTAAAGCAGAATTTAAGTACTCACTTATAATTATTGAGTCAGGAATAGGAAATGAATTTACAAATAGATGCAAGACGGCTTTTTCCAAGGAGGGCGGACGACTCAATATGAAGTTGAATGGACAAAAGAATTTTGTTTCGCTGTCAGTTACCCACAATTTAGAGTTGCACAGAGCTCCACAGAGATGGAGAGTCCCCTTAGAATCAGAATACTGGGAAGGATGAACCAGGAGAGAGGACACCCAGTGAACTTTTGGTCTATTTCCACGTGTTTACAATTTTCCCTTAAAAATCACTCTGATGATCTGCAAACGTCCAGCACCTAAGCAGTTCTCTCTCTCTCTCTATCTCTGCTGTATTGTCCTCATTCATCTCCATCCTCTGGCCTCCGAGTTGCCTTTGGCAGGTTTCCATGGTGTTTCTTCGCTCCCAGGACCCAGGCTCAGGGAGAGGGACCAGGGGAACCGAATCTCCGCCCCCGCTCGGGGTTTAGCCCCGCCCACCCTCCACAGGCACCGCCCCGGCCCGCCCAATAATGGCAGCGCGCCAAGGTCACGTGACCGCCCGCCCTCCCGCGACGCTTCCGAAGCAGTACGTGGCAATGACGTCACTCAGAAAAGTCCTTCGACCCTTCCTGCCAGCTCCCCACGCCGTCTCTCCCTTTTCCTAATTAAACGCCTTTTTCTCCTCTTGCCGCTCTCGCCTCGGAGATGGCAGCCTACGGGGCTGCCAGCTACCCCGGGCCTCGGAGCCGGCCAGCCCTCACCCGCCCTCCAGAGCGGAAGCGAGTTGCACTTCTGTTTGGGCGTGACGTCTCGTCACTTTCCAAGTCGATCCAATCAGAGGCCGCGCCCGCCGAGCTTCTCGCTCTCCTATTGGCCCGCGGGGAGGCGGGGAGGCGGGGAAAGGAGGGGTGTCGCCGGAGGTCGCGCGAGGGCGGCGCGGGGCCTCGGCGCGCAGGCGCGCAGGCGCTGGCTGGGGCCGGGCGGGGGGCCGGGCTTGCAGACGCGTCGTTGGGAGTCGGACGACGCGGGGACGGACGGCGCTTCGCTGGGCTCGTCCGTTGAGCGGAAAGCTTTTGTCCGGGTCCCGGCCGAGAACGAGGCCCCCGCGAGACTCCCCCAATGGTGTCCATGACTTTCAAGCGGAGCCGCAGCGACCGCTTCTACAGCACCCGGTGCTGCGGCTGTTGCCATGTCCGCACCGGGACGATCATCCTGGGGACCTGGTACATGGTGAGGACGGGCGGCGCCCCGGGCGGCGGGAGGCGCGGGCCCGGCGGGGCGGCGGGAGGCCGGGGCCCGGCGGGAGGTGCGCACTGGGCTGGTGGCGCCGAAAGCGGGCTGTGGGCGGGGCGGCCGGGCCTCAGGGAGCTGCTGTTGCGGGCGCCCAACTGCGGGGTCGGGGAGGGGAGGGAGGACTGTGTCCGGGAATCCGGGCGGCGGGGGTGGGGATGGATGGGGGGGTGGTTCTTGGCCAGGATCTGGGCAGCGGGGCCGGGCGGAGGCGGCGCGGGCCGAGGGGGAGGAGGGAAGTGAGGGTGTTGTGTTTTGGTGGGAAAGTTCTGGAAATTACCAGGTTTCAGCTCTTTTGGGTACTTCCTGGGTCGGAAAGCAGCCCTGACCCTCCGGCCCCTGCTCCCTGCTCCCTGGAATTTTTCTCCCAAACGGAAGGACGAGGAGCGGGTCTGAGGACGGGCAGCCTGGTTTGGACGCTGTGTTTTGCCTGCGGAGCCGGGAGGGAGAGGTCCAGCGGCGCCTCCATCGGGGGCTCCCGGGCCTCTGTGCGAGGGGCGCCTGGGGTGTGGGCAGGAGGCCGCGCTTTGCGGGCATCCGCACTCGGTCCGCTTGGGGTGCAGTTTGGGGTGCAGCCCTAGGCGGGCGCCCTGCGTCTGGTTAAGGGACCTGTTGGAGGGCCTGCCCGGTCCTGGCCGCGGGTGGGACCCCCGGATGGAGACCCGTGCGGTCACCTGCCGTGGCCAGGCTGATGGACGGTTCACTCCTGAGCACCTGCGTGCACTCTGACATCATCCCCGGGATTCCTGCGTCCGGAAGCTGATGTGCCCGGGACTCCTCCATGTGGGTCTCGTAGTAGGTCGTTTTGGGGTGTGACGACGCCTTTGCAGAGGCTTTGGCACACTTGTATCGGCGACTTGGCCACTTCCCCTCATGTCTGTGATTGTGTGTGGGGGGGGTGGGGGGAGGTGGTGGCATTGTTTCTGATGAGTTTCAGAGGGGAGAGCTTCACCGCAGCCATTCCTTTCGCCTCTCCCTGCGCTGGCAGCGCCTTGGAGTCATTACTGTTGGACAAACACCAGATGCGCATCGTCTTCACTTGGGGCCTCAGTCTTAGGCAGATCGTGTTTCATGGCCTCCCCTCCTCCCCCGCCTCTGATCTACACATCATTCCCGGCTGCCTTGTTTGGTTTTTGTTTTTTACAGCCGGGCTTCGTTAGGAACACTAGAGACAACAACAAGACGGGAATGCGCAGGCACCTTTGCTTGTTTCTAAGAAATACTTCCTGTGCTTTTATAGTAGAGACGTTTCACTGGTGTAGTTATAGCACAGTCCCCTGAAAAGGCTCCTTTCTAGTTCTGTGCTTTAACGGGCTGGTCATACGGGACACCGATCAGTTAATGGCAATAGGAGCCGTTGCATTTCTAACTTTCTTTTTATTTCTAATCCATTTGCTAAGGGGATGGGTCTTCACTTTCTTTTGTTTGCCTTGGACTCTGTCTTGGCTCGCCTAAAAGGATCACCGAAATCTTAAAAGCCTTCAAACCTCTTCCTCACCCTGCTCCCTAGAGGATGACCTTTCCTCCTACTGTAACTGAGAATGAGTGTCCTTGCCTGCAAACCCAGTCTTCCTTTTTCTTCTCAATGACTTTCTTTTCACGGAACAAAGGATTTCCAACTTCTCTAGAAGAAATAACCACCATCCCAATTTCAACCATCTGAAAGTGATTGGCCTTTTTTCTTTCCAAGGCATATGAAAATGTTATTTATTTTTTATAGAAAGAGGAAGGGGTAGAGGGTGGAGAGAGGGAGGGAAGAACAGAGGGAGGGTGGGTGAGGGGGGGAAGAGAGAGGAACATCGATTTGTTGTCCCACTTATTTATGCATTCATTGGTTGATTCCTTTATGTGCTCTGACCGGGGATTGAACCCACAATCTTGGTGTATGCAGACGATTGCTCTATCCTACTGAGCTCTCTGGTCAGGGCTCAAGGCAGATTTTCTTTCTTTCTCTTTTTTTTTTAAGTGCTATGGGCTCAGTTCATAAAAATGAAAGGACTAGCAGGGAAAAGTGGGAGCTAAAACAATAAAACTCAAAATGCATTTGTTCTCCCAAAACAGAATGAGGAGTTTAAACGCCTTTTCTCTGGAAGCACTTGGTGTGTGAACATTTCACACATCTTCCTTTCCCTGTTTTAGCCAGAGCTGTCTTTACTCCGTGGACTTTTCTGGTTAATAGATTATTATAAGCTGCTTAACCATTTGCACGCCGTAAGTGTCTGTAGACGTAAGTGGCAGACCTTTTTTAATTTCAGAATAACTGGTTAAATCAATCTTAAATTAAGAGATTTTTTGACCATCTAGAGTGGAAAAGCCTGGTGGATACGCAAAAAGAGTAAGCCACTGGGACTGTAAGTCATTGATCCTTTCTGTTGGTCTTACCTCCACACAGAGGCTCCCTCAAGTGTTTCTTGGCTTGAGCATGGCATCTGCCCTCAAGATTTGTCTGGCATTACAAAGGTCTTTGGAGCCCATACACAGAAATGAAGCTCAGGGTGCATTAATAAGGTGGCAGGATGAAAAAGTTAGCAGATTCGAGATTGGAAAAGGCTGTTGGTTTTCGTTACAGTTTTGCTGGTGACTTTTAAAAGTGTGGCTTTTAGTTGGGGAGGCATAGAGCATTTAGAAAACACGACCAGTTAGAGAAAAGCGTAATAAAATATCTAAACAAAGGGTTTGTCCTAAGAGTGCATTTTGTTGCCAGAAGCGCCTTTGCTAAAAAAGGAGAAAAATCAGGGAAATGGTTGAGGTGGGATGTCACACCCCTCTCCAGCTTCCTTGCTGTGACATTCGCCTCTTTTTTTTTTTTTTTTTTTTTTTTTTTTTATGATTTATGATTCTTTAGATGGATGGCCTCTGCTGGCTGGAACCCAGAGATGCAGCCCTACCCCCCTCCTGGGCCCAGGCACCGTATCAGTGACTGTATCTGATACTGTGTCATTGCTTTCTAGCAACTGTTTCTACTGGTCTAGTAAAGAGACGGTAATGCTATATACTAAAGTATTAATGGTGTGCCACTAAAGAGGAGCAGAGCCGCTTACATGTACCAGGCTTGACGTGTTAGTTTTCGGCATTTAGATTTGAAGGAAGCACGCCTGACTTAAAGCTGGGTTAAGTAATATATGGAGTTTCAGAATGAGCTCCAGCTAAAATTCTGGCATTTCTGAAATTGTTTTCTCTACCATGTATTAAAGAATTTGAAGACATTATTTTAAACAATAGTTTCTCATGTGGTATATTTTCTAGGTAATATTTCCTGATTGATTAAAAATGGGCATTAATTTCTGCTGCAGGAATTAATGGTGTTCTAAAAGAATGCATTTTTTTGTTTGTTTTTTTAAAAAAATATTTTTATTGATTTCAGAGTGGAAGGGAGAGGGAGGGAGAGATAGGAACATCAACTATGAGAATCATTGATTGGCTGCCTTCTGCACGCCCCCTACTGGGGATCAAGCCCACAACCCAGGCATGTGCCTTGGCCGGAATTGAACCTGGGACCCTTCAGTCCGCAGCTGGACGCTCTATCCACTGAACCAAACCAGCTAGGGCCAAGAATGCATTTTGACCATTGGGAATAATTTTAGATCTGGCGACCTATTTGTTTTCCATTTGACAACAATTTATTTTGAAATGATTCATCTTTCTCTAGGGTGAACCTTATTGTCTGTTTAATGTGTGGCTAATTCTTCATGAGTGCCTCACACATAAGCAGTCTAAAGTTAGGGAGCTGGGGGAGAGGTAAAGGCAGGTTTCCTTAAGTAGATTCCTTTCTGCCCTCACCCCAGCTGGATTCCTTTACATAAGTATAGCTTGTTTTCATTTCAAAGTTACTATCTTTCCTCAAACACATTGTCCTGTGCTATTTATTTTCCCTGAAATGTTCTTCTTCTCCCAACTCTTAAAAAAAAACTTTATGAAGGAAAATTTCAAATGTACAAAAATATTGAAGTAGTATAAAAATCACCCAGCTTCAACCATTAACATTTTGCCAGTTTGGTTAATTTTTTAAGGGTTAGCTCAAATGTTTCTTGGTAGAAACTTTTCTTGCTTCCCAGCCAGAGGGATCTGGTTTTCTCATTGTGCACCTGGAAAAGTTTGTACATCTCTTAAATTTACTTTTTTGTTAATCCTCATCCAAAGATATTTTTTCCTTTTTTATTATAGAGAGTGAGGGGGGGTATTGAGGGGGAGAGAGAGAGGAGAGCAGAGAGAGAAACAGAAACATCAATGTGAGAGAGACACATTGATTGGTTTGCCTCCTGCATGGACCCTGATTGTACTGGGGTTCAAACCTGCACCAGGGTAGGTGCCCTTGACCAGGAATCGAACCCGAGACCCTTTGGTGCACTCTAACCACTGAGCCATGCCAGCCAGGGCTAGAGATTTTTTAAATGAATTGTCTTCTATTATACAAAAAACAGGAGGAATAACTCATTAGTAACTGCACATAAGGGTAAAAGACAACAAAAACATATAATATACATTTATTATAATTTAAATTCTCTTTGTTTTTTTAAATTTTCGATTTTATTTTCATTGAATTTATTGAGACGGCATTGATTAGTACAATTATAAAGATTTTAGGTGTACAATTTTGTAACGTGTCATCTGTACCTTGTATTGTGTGTTCACCACCCCAAGTTTCCTTCTGATACTACTTACCCCCCTTTTGCCCTCTCCGACCTCCCTCCACCCCCTTTCCCTCCGGGAGTCACCGTGCTGTTCTCTGTGAGCTTTGTTGGTTGGTTAGTTGGATTTTGCTTAATCCCTCCTCGAATTAAACGTTAGAGATAGTTAATTTTTATCTTTATCTGATGACAGCTCTTTGCTGACTTAGCTCCCTGTGGATTCCCCCCTCCTTGGCCTAGGAGACCCTGTTGGGAAGCCTTGGAGCAAACACATTGTTTTAATTATAGTCTCCACAGATATTGGGTTGTGGAAAATATGCTGTGGGAAAAGTCAAGAATAATAATTAAAAAGCAAAAACCAGGCCACAAAAGAATCTTCTGGGCTGAGTGAGGCAATGAACTGAGAAAGCAAAGGGCTGTTTCCATGGCCTGGTCCTGTTTCTTTGTAACAGTGAAATCTAGTATTTCTGGTTTTTGTTGTTCTTGTTTATTTATACAAGGTGTGAAAAAGGCTTTCAAATATAATGCAAACTGCGTGGGCCAGCGTGGTTCAGTTGGTTGGGCATCAGCCTGTGTCTTGATTTTGATTCCAGGTCAGGGCCCATGCCTAGGTTTTGGGCCCAGTCCCCGTTGGGGGGCATTTCTCTTCTCTCTCTCTATTTTTTTCTCTCTCTCTGAAAATAAGGTAATATTTTTTGGCCCACTAAGTTTTTAGTACCATTTCCACATTGAGTGGTTTGTCCATTGCCCATGGTGTTAACGTGTGTGGTTAGCTGCTGCATTCTATTCTTCTCCATAACACTAGATTTAGAAAGGAATTGTTTTAATTACATTTTTGTTAATTTTCTTTGTTAAGCATAATAAAGGGAAAATGAATTGGGAATAAATATTCTGGAATTGTATATATTTGCAATTTTCAGAGAAATTTTCTATCACAAGACTATAAAATTAGTTTTATGTATTTTTTGAAAAAGGCTACATGAAACTTAGAAATAATCAACTAAAATCAAGTGAATTGCCTGTATTTAAGCACAGGCTGGGTCTTTATTGGTGAATCTTTTAAGGCCACGAGGATGGGTTTCCAGGCTGGTAGTTTAAAATGTGACTTAGGGTTCTAATGAAATATGGTGATGCAATGTGTGTTTTTAATGAAGTAGCACTGAAATTTATTTTACCATTTCTTGGTTCTTTTGATTAGACTCATGATTTGTTTTATTACTCAGGGGTATGACTCACTGAAATGAAATGTGAGGTGTCAGTACTAGAAGAAGATAATAGTGGATGATTGTGACTTATCCATGGAAGAGAAGAAAATACTTTTTTTCTTGTTAATCCTCACCTGAGCATATTTTTTCCATTGATTTTCAGAGAAAGTGGAAGGGAGGAGAAACAAGGGATAGAGAGAGAGGAGGGGTGTTGGGAGAGAGAGAGAGAGAAACATTGATGTGAGAGAGACTCATCCATTGGTTGCCTCCTGAACTCACTTAAACCAGGATGGGGAATGGAGCCTGTAATTCAGGTACATGCCCTTGAGTGGAAATCGAACCAAAAGGAAATCTCCTTTTGTGTGAGAGCCAGGCCAGCCAGGGTAGAAAAGACATCTTAATTCTATATGGGATTAAAAAAAAAATTAAAAAGGAAAAAATTAAACTTCTAAATATTTTGGATGTGTCATGTCCTTCATTAATAATTGAGTTTGCATATTTTTCTTTACATTTTCTGTGCAGAGCTTTTTAGCTGTGAGTATGTTGTGTTTAGCAAAGAGTTGGCTGAATTGATTCTAAGCTTTTTTAAACAGAATATATAACGTTGGTAGATGTATCTGATTATCCCACAGTTAATACATTTAATCATATTAACTCATATGTTTATACCATATGCACTGGGAACACCCATTGCAATGAGAATGCACTAAGGAAAAGTCAGCCTTCAGCTCGGAGCCATCTTGCAAATGGGATTTTCCCTTGTAAGGCCTCTCCCGAGTTGAAGGATAAAGCACATTGCCTTTGAGCAGTGCAAGGAAAAAGGCATGTCACTGAACATATTTGGAGAGTAAAGTATAAATGTTTTACAGCCTTAGGTAATCATTTGTTTTGGAAAGACCTGTAGTGCAAAGAAGCAGGCTGGCTTAGAAAGAGCAGATTTGTGTTCTAGCTCCATCCTCTTGTCAGCTCAGTGACCTTACACAAATTATTTTGCTTTTTTGAACCTGTTTCCTCATTTGCAAGTGGGCTTTAGAAATATTTACTTCACTTAAGTAAAGTGAAGTGATATACATCAGAATACTTGTATAGTGTATATCTTAAGAAATACTAGTGGATTGTGTATTTGATATTGTGACACTGTTTATATCTCCTAGCCTTATCTTAACGATAAAGACTTGGTCTTAGAGAGTATGTAATGAGTGATAAACACCTCTAAGAAAATTTAAGTGCTGATAAAACTTACTTATCATCCAGGGTGGACACAGACACTATAGTGGTGGGGGCTTGCCCAGGGTGGGAATGGCTGGGGGCAGGGCATCAATTGGGGAAAGAGGAGACTTATGTAAAACTTTGGACTATATAAAAGAAAGATTAAGGATTCCTGTAATCACCCGGTGGTCTGCACAGTTTGGAAAGGTCAGGAATAACCAGAGCGCAGCCTTCGACACTCCCCTAAGTTGGGATTCCCATATACAGGGTAGGCGGCCTTCGGCACACTTCCCTTTTCTCAGATGTCCTCCCTACAAACTTTCCAACCCAGTCTGTGTGCTCCCCAACATCTGCCTGTCCCTCACCCTCCCTTCCACTATGTCCACAAATCAACAGGCCTCGGAGGGAGTTATCAACAGCAAAAAGAAACATTCCTTGAAAGTATCCAATTTCACAAGGAGAGAGGACCGATTCTGTGAACTCAGATTGGAAAGCCTGACTCCGATTCTAGGTGCGATTTTTCCTATGAAATCATTGGTACCAGTTTGAGCATTGAAACGGCGTGGTGCCTCCTGGGGTACTGCAGGGACTCAGAACTAGAGGCATGAATATTTCCTTTTTAAATGGAGTTACAGCCCTCCCATGCCAGTGGAAAATTTACTGGATAATTACGAAGGGATTTCAGCAAGATGTTTGACAAGGTCTCAAGATGTTTCTCTGGATCAGATAAAGAATTTCACTGAAACATTATTAATGGGAAGAGGACAGCCTCTGGCAGCTGGCTTCACCAATGGAAATACTGATTACATGCTGATTATATTTTCAAAGCAGGAAACAGAGAGAGGAAATCCGTATGGTATCAGTAACTAGATTGAGAAACGTCTTACCAAGCAAGAGCGTGATAAGATAAAATTCAATTGGAAATGTGTGAGGGCTTATGCTTGAGCCTCTGAACCAATTGTACAGGTTCAGATGGCAGCCTAGTGGGGTCAAGTATGGGAAAGAATTAGGGTTTTTTAGGGAGTTAATCTCCTATAACATTCAAAACATTTAAATATATATTTTATTGAGTTTTTACAGAGAGGAAGAGAGAGGGGTAGAGAGCTAGTAACATCGATGAGAGAGAAACATCGATCAGCTGCCTCTTGTACACCCCTACTGAGGATGTGCCCGCAACCAAGGTACATGCCCTTGACTGGAATCAAACCCGGGACCCTTCAGTCCGCAGGTGGATGCTCTATCCACTGAGCCAAACTGGTTTTGGCCATTCAAAACATTTAGAGGGCAGTGCGATTTCAGGCCGCCTTAACTGCAGTTTGTTAGCTGGGACCCCCTGTGTTCGCTCCAGGCCCATCTTAGCTCACTTAAGGGTGTGCAGCAAAGGGCACGTGTGTAGAGGAGAGCAAAGGGGAGTTCTGACGTAGTTGGCAGGTTGCTCGTGAGAGAAGCAGTTTAAGAACCTGAGGGTTAGCTCTGGAAAAGACTTGCGTGGAGGCACTTGTCAGCCATCCGTAGATGTTAGAGGAGCACTTACTCAGGAGTGGGGGCAGATTGTCTGGAGGGTAGGATTAAGATCAGTATGTGAAGTGACAGTCAAAATCTTTAAAGCCTTTAGTCCGAGGAAATAGTTCTCTATCACTGGAGAGGATATATTGTGGAAGGGTTTCAAGCTTTTCTGATGGCTGTTACATTGTCTGATGGATAAGTATATTGGATGAGCTAGCTTCTTCAATACCAGACCTCTGACGATATGACCCGAACGATTTGTAATGGTCCCTTATGCTTAATTGTTGCCCTGTTTTAGTCTGTTGTATTGAATCAAATCAGTCATCTTTTCTTGGAAACAGATAAGTTTATACTTTAACTTTATCATATATTTATTTAAAAATATTCTTAGAGTGGTATTGCATATTTTATCTCACAGGTAGTCTCCAAGTACATGTCTTTCCTACTTCAAATAAAACGATTTTAAATATGGGAAGACATTTAAAGATTGTGCTGCACACTGCTGCCTGATTAATAATCTACATATATAAAAGCCTAAGCGACCGTTATGATAGAACAACCATTGACCAGTTGCTATGATGCATACTGACCACTAGGGGGCAGACACTCAATGCAGGAGCTGCCCTCTGGTGGTCAGTGTGCTCCCACAGGGGAGTGCCACTCAGCCAGAAGCTGGGCTCACGACTGGGGACAGCAGGAGCCTCTCCCAACTCCGAGGGAGCACTACTGAGCTGGGCAGCAGGTGCCTCGGGCTGGGATGAGCTTAAGTGGCACCGGTTCTGGCTCCTTCCTGGCTGTCTGCTGCACTGTTACATCCCTTGAGGGTCCCAGATTGCAAGAGGATGCAGGCAGGGCTAAGGGATACCCCCACCCTCCCAGTGCCAGAATTTCATGCTTCAGGCCCCTAATATAATTGATAAAATTATCTTCCATAGGTGGTTAACCTGTTGATGGCAATTTTGCTGACTGTGGAGGTAACTCATCCAAACTCAATGCCATCTGTCAACATTCAGTATGAAGTCATTGGCAACTACTACTCCTCTGAGAGGATGACAGGTATGTTTTAGGAGGAAATATCTCTTGCTGACCACACACACACACACACACACACACACACACACACACGTTATTTCAAAGAGAATGAATTAAATCCTGTTTAAGTTATTAAACTTGCTGAGGCAGAAAAGTGTTTTCTGGGTTTTTCAAAGATGCCCAGTGAGGATTACTAGTATAATCGAGCATTTCTAGCCAGATAATGTAATGGCTAGAAATGGTATTTTATACTTTGACTCCTGTTTTGGTGTTGTGGAAATCAGAGGGAAAGAAGGAATTACTAAAAAACTGTGAACCGTTGAGAGTCAGCTGACAAGTGCAGCAGAGGATGGGAGATTTGCTTATGGAACAAAAAGACTTACAGTAAATATGAAATACAAATTATTTGAATATTTGGTGATGTCTTTTGCTTAGAGTCACTATTCTAAATATATTTCTGTTTGGATGAAAAAGTCCTGCCATTAGAGTTAAAAATAGAGGAACCTTAGGACATTCATAGATTACCTTTTTAAAACTATGCATTTCCTGATAGCAGTATTTTCATTTATCTTCTCTACAGTTCAGGTGCAGAAAAGTTGCAGTTTTTACATTATTATAAATTATGTTAGAAATTTAGTATTTGAGCAGGAAACTATGCCTCAGACTTCTCAGTGCAAATAATTTATGTTGATTTAAAAAAAATTTCACTTCAGAATAATGTTCCCAGTTCACTGTATATGTTATATGTTATATTACAGGATCTGAAAGATCATTTAAAAAAATATATATTTTATTGATTTCGAACAGAGAGGAAGGGAGAGAGATAGAGAGCTAGAAACATTGATGAGAGAGAGTCATCGATCAGCTGCCTCTTGCACACTCCCTACTGGTGATATGCCCGCAACCAAGGTACATGTCCTTGACCAGAATCGAACCCGGGTCCCTTCAGTCCCCTATCCATTGAGCCAACCCGGTCTCGGCTGAATGATCATTTTAAAAATTATTAGCTTTTATTATAAAGTTGTGTGCTTTGTTACATTTATGACCAGCTCTAATCCATTTATGAAGTTATTTTTTTTAAAACATTTGGTTGTTAATTCAAATGATTAATTGTCCTCAGGGCTAACCTCTGTTTCTAGGAGCCTGGTAGTGGGCATCCATCATACATTTATGAAAGCTCTAACAACTTTTCACACTTTGTATCTAAAGTGCTTTTTTTTTTTTTTTTTTTTAAGGGGGGGGTCTCCTAATTGTCTTTTCAAAGTATAGTATAATTCTTTAATTTTTTTTGTCAAATGTTATAGGAAAAAATACCCAGAACATACTAGAAACATTCCTTCTGGCATTTGTTTTTTTGTTTTGTTTTGTTTTTTAGTTGTCTGTTTTTATTTAAAAACCAAGATACAACGCTAAATAAATTAGCTCCTAATGACCGTTTATGGTATTTATGAAATTTTACTTTAGGTTATAAATTGTTACTGAACCTCCTCACGTCAGCCTCTTCCCTGATCATGTGTGTTTCTCTTAAAATTGAGGTGTAGAAAAAGATTTAGGGTTACTGATACTCTTGTATGTTTGTACAAACAGCTCCCAGCCTTGGCCAGAGCTCCAGGTGTGAAGTCACAAGTTTATTGTATGTTGCATGAGTTTTGTAACTCTCCAGAGAATCAGATGTATTCATTATCAGTTTTTGTTAGTTATAATTCTACAAAAGCCCTTGCTGTTGAGAGTATAGAAAAATACGTAGTTCTTGGTCATGTGGCATCTGTGTTTCTTTGGACCAATATGAAGAAGTTGAGAAACAAAGAAACAGACCTGACCGCAGCAGAGATGCCCAGTGAAGGATGTGGAGCAGTGAGCGTGGTGCTGGGCGCGGAAGAGGACAGTAGTTAAGGATGACCGTTCGTTTCAGATCATGTATTTTATCGAAGGCACAAGAGGGCATCTGTAGCATTCTGTGTGTAATGCACACGTGTTTCCTTAAAACATGCCTTTCCCTTCAGTTAAACCCTGCTCAGATCACAAAACCCAACTTATGTTATTTGTTTTATTTTTTTTTTTTCCTGATTCCCCAGGCAAAGCTGACTGTTTCTGTTTCTTATTGTAGCACTTGCCACTTTGGATTATAATTCTCTGCTTGCACATCTTAGCTTTTAGACTCTGACCAGAGGTCTGTACCATCCTATATAATAAAAGCCTAATATGCTAAGTGGTCGCCCGTTCAACCAAACAAAGCATAATATGCTAATGATATGCCAAGGCCTCTTAACTGCTCGCTATGGCATGCACTGGGGCAGACAGTCAACTGGTCGACCAGTCACTATGATGTGCACTGACTACCAGAGGGCAGATGCTCCAACCGGTACTCTAGCTTGCTGCTGGGGTTTGGCCAATTGGGACTGAGCGAGACGGGCTGGACATGCTCTGGAGCTCTCCCATGGTTTCTCCCTGACTGGCCAATCTCTTGTGTCCCTCCCTGGTCCTGATCGTGCACTGGTGGGGTCCCTGGACCTGGCCTGGGCCCTCACACAGTCTGGGACCCCTCAGGAGATGTCAGAGAGTTGGTTTTGGCACAAGCCAGGCCAGAAGACCCCACTAGTGCATGAATTTGTGCACCGCGTCTCTAGTCCTTAATAAGTATCAGTGATTTGTAGCAGTTTAACAAACAAGAAAACAAAGGGACTAATTGCTTAAGCTTTATACTTAAAGCTGAGGCAGATTTTTTTTTTAACCTTGAATTTTTTTACTCTCCTAGATTTTTTTCATAGGCAATCTTGAAAATACTTTGATGTTTGTAAGCTAACTTTAAAGTGTTATTTTGTTATGAAGAGTTTTGTTCTTTTTGTGTAAGTCGCTTAATCAGATTTTGGTTTTTGTTTTCTTAGATAATGCCTGTGTTCTTTTTGCCGTCTCTGTTCTTATGTTTATAATCAGTTCAATGCTGGTATATGGAGCAATTTCTGTAAGTATCCTATGTTTTCAACTTTTGGACTTTGCTTTTTACTGAGCTGTACTTAGTACTTCCATTTATGTGATGTTGTGGATGTTATTTTTTTTTTCTTCAGTATCAAGTGGGTTGGCTTATTCCATTCTTCTGTTACCGGCTTTTTGACTTCGTCCTCAGTTGCCTGGTTGCTATCAGTTCTCTCACTTACTTGCCAAGAATCAAAGAATATCTGGATCAATTAGTAAGTGTGTATGCTAATTAAATTTATTTTTTCCCTTATAACTAAAATATTTAAATTTAATTAGTTTTTTAGGCACTATTTTTATTTTAACTGATCCTATTTTTTTTTTTTAAGGTGTCCTAAAATAATATCACTACTCTTAACTACCATGTTGAAAACCAGTAAGATGAAAATAGAATTATCTTCTTATACCATTTGGATAGTCAGTATTAGAAGTCCCTAAAAATGGTTATTATGGAATTTGAGGGAGTAGTTCAACTTTTGTTTTGAATAAACTAAAAGTATAATAATTTGACTGTACTTGGCACTCATTAAAGAATTAGCTTTTTACTTTTGCAGGCCTTTATAGCAAATATTTGAGTGCCTGCTGTTTGCTTTTTCTCTTCTATGCGGACTGTTGGTAAATGATGTAGATATAAAGAACCACCCCTCCCCCCAAAACAAACAAACAAACCAAAAAAAAAAAAACATAACAAAGATAACTCCCTTTTAAGGAGCAAATCATTGAGGAGTCAGGACATGAAGATGTTATCTGTGATAATGAACTAGAGCTGTCATGGGACTGTGGTAAATGCAGAGCTTAAGTGCTGTATGATAGAGGGGCAGGGAACACTCTGGACTAAAGTAAGGCCTAGAAGGAGGAGTGGGGCCCAGATAGATGAAAGTTCACTTAAAAAATTCTGCCTTTCAAGAATTTTCACCCCACTTTCAGACTTTCTGCCTAATCCATTTTGTGTACCACCAAATTTACCATTCATTCTAAAAAAACATTTGTTGGTTGCTTCTTATGTGCAAGGCACTGCTGGATCCTAGGGATATATCAATAGAACTTTCTAGAGAAGGAATTGGAAAATTGACAGTTACTGAATTAAAATTGTGGTAAAAGCTGTGAAGGGAAAGTGGAACTGCTGTGTGAGTGGATGTCACACAGGTATCAGACCTGAGCTGGGACTTAATTCTAAGTAGGGATTAAGATAGGGCAAGTGCAAAATAAAATGTCCGGGTAAAACTGACACTGGGAAGCAGGAAGGAGCATGGGCGATGGCCGCGGACTGGAAGAGGACGGGGCTGGCCACTAGAGGAATGGCGGGAGGAATGTAGTGGCTGGAGAGGTGGCCAGGCACAGGGCCTGTTGGCCCGGTCAGCAGCTGTCTAAACACAGTTCTCTCTGCTTATGTCATCGCTGGCTGAAAATGGCAAGCCTTCTGCATAAAGTCACAGCATTTCTGCCATGAGCTGGCTCCATGATGTGTTTGTCCTTTTATTTGCAGGTGAAGAAAGCTTAAAGAATTGTTTTGCCCCAAGGCACACTTAGTTTGGGGTTCTTGTGTGGCTTTTTCTTTCTCTTGGGTCCTTTGGGATTTCTTTGTGCTACTTTTTTATGAAAATGGGAGATTATTTGTGTTGACATTTCCATGGAAAAACTTGGTTTAAAACGATTAAATGAGCTATATGGAAACCCATGCAAATGAAATGTTTACTGCTCCTTTTACAGACCTCTCTGGTTCCTCCTGTTGTGTTCACTTGGTCTCTCGGCCTGGAAGGGACTTGGTCTGTTGGCCACCTTGTACCTTTTAAACGATGCTTTTGTAATGCCCCTCTCCTTGAACCTAGCACACCGCCTCGCACTAACTGAATGCTAACTGAATATTTGAATACATATAGTTGTCCTTCTCAATAGAACATGTTATGCCTGCAGCAAATCATGTAATCCGCTTGGCTGATAATCAGGGCGTGCCCTCTTTGCCCCTCCTAATGAGCTGGGAGACTGATGACTGGCTTTTAGATAAGTTATTTCCCCAGGTAGAACCAAATGGCCCATGGACTTTAGATAAATAGCAGCGCTTCTTGATTTAGTGATTTTGAAAAGAAAGTGAGCTCAATTTAGACTCTTGGGACTCTTCTGAATATCAAAGAAATGTATTTTAAGTGATCAATCACATGCATTAATGATGAGGCTTTAAGGTACTTTGAGTTAAATTCTGTCTGTAAGTTTTTATTAGAATATCAATTCTGACTTGGGTGCTTTCTGTTTGTATTTGTGCCACGCTCTTTAGTTTGTCCCAGAGTGCAGGTGTGTGGCTGAATTATAAGTGTGTGTATGTTTAATAGACTTTATTTCTTAGAGCAGTTTTAGGTTCACCGCAAAACTGAACAGAAAGTACAGAGAGTTTCCCACATAGCCCCTACTTCCGCCCCCATAACCTCTTACTACCCACATCCCAAACCACAGTGATTCATTTGTTACGGTTGTGAACCTGCATTGACACCTCAAATCATTATCACCTAAAATCCATGGTTTTCATTAGGGTTCATTTTTGGTGTACGTTCCACACAGGTTTGGGCACATGTATAATGACATGTATTCATCACAGATTGTTCAGAATAGTTTCACTGCCTAGAAATCCTCTGCTCTGCTCTTCATCCCTCCTTTTTATTTATTTATTTATTTATTTATTTATTTATTTATTTATTTATTTATTTATTTATTTTATAGCCTGATTTTCCCTATAAAGATGACCTCCTGGCATTGGACTCCAGCTGCCTCCTGTTCATTGTTCTTGCGTTCTTTGTCTTATTCATCATTTTCAAGGTGAGTTGCTGACTAAATATTTGGGGGTCACTTAGACTGTGACACTGTCCATCTAAACCTCCTGTTGCCTTACCTCCCAGTAAGTGACTGTTCATTTTGAGACAGCGGTAGAGAGAGCTTTCAGGGAATGTTCCTCCCTCTTGTTTCCCGATAATGGTTGGAAATTTAAGGATTGTCATGTTTTTAGAAGTGATTTATGGTTTCGATTGAAAATTGTTCAAATTCCCAAGGTTCAGAAACAGAATTTCTTCTGCAGAACAATGGTTATCAGACCTGAGACCCCAAATCTGGTTTTTTCCGTGAAATGGTGATAATAAAACTTGTGGCATTAAGTGAGAGCAAGTGGATGCAGGGCCTGGCCTGTGGGTGTGTTTCCTTCTCCATGGAGAACGGGGGGGGGGAAAGCACTAGAAGTCCCCTTCGTTTTAGAACAGGTAGTCTGCTGAGTTCTAGCATGTGTAAATTTTATTTTATTTGTTTAGGCTTATCTAATCAACTGTGTTTGGAACTGCTATAAATACATCAACAACAGAAACACACCGGAGATTGCTGTGTACCCTGCCTTTGAAGCGCCTCCACAGGTGAGTGACCTTCTAATACATTGGAACTTCACTCGCCATTATTGATTATTCCCAAGAACCTGGGTCTTGACTTTCTCTTCAATGCCATGACTGTGGTTTAGGGCATGAATAGATGTGCCCTTCAGCCCGGAAGAAATAAGCACCCGATCCTTTGACTGTAGATGATGATGAAATTCCAGGATGCAGCATTTTATTGGAGGCTTCCTTCACGGCGGCCCTTAACCTAGACCCGCAGCTACCGGAGGGGTAGTTGGTACTTGATCAGGCACATGGGAAGGGTGGGAAGAGCAGGGCACGTGCTTCCTGTCCAGGTGTTTGGTAGCCCCCCAGGGTTAGTCTGCCATTCCTTCCATCCCTCCACCGCTCCACCCCTCCCTCCTCCCTCTTCCCTCCTCCCTCCACCCCTCTCCAGCATTTGGGATCACATGTCTCATCTGCATGTAAAGGTCTAGGTAACTAGTCATCTCTCCTCTCAGGACCTGCTTTGCTAACAGTTTCTTCAGCTCTTCTCTGTGGGGTTGTGTGTCCCTTTTAGGACATAAAATCTGAAAGCTGAATTATTCCAAGTAGGATTTTAAAGGAGAATTGAGTCTGATACAACTTTTTTCTCTCTCCAGTACGTTTTGCCAACCTATGAAATGGCAGTGAAGATGCCTGAAAAAGAGCCACCGCCTCCTTACATACCCGCCTGAAGACATCCTGCCTTTGTCAATAAACCCTATACCAGCTTCTTGGCGTGTTTATTTTACAGAATGCTGCAATACAGGGCTCTTCAACTTGTTTGATATAAACTACATTTTCCTTGTGTAAGCATTTATTTTCAAACACTAACCAGCTTTTGGGACATCTATTAGAAGTCAGTTGTTTCTTGTTTTGTTAAGTCGATTACATTTTAGTAGTTTTTGAAGACAATCTAGAGAAGCAAGAGCAAAGTGCCATTGTTTGCCTTTAATTGGGGGGTGGGGAGGGGTGCTCTCTACACACTTTCTTTTTAACTTTGCACTTCCTTTATATAATCGTTTGCATTTTGGTTATTTGCTGCCCTGGACATGTTCAGGAGGAATGAATAAGATATTCATGGTGAGTGAGTTAGGTGTAAGATCTGAAGTTGTCAGCTGTGAAAACAGGACAAAATGTATGTTTTAAGTTGACTGTGGAAATGACGGTTGCATGTTTCTAATTTGTATGTTTCCATTTTGTGATAAGATGCTTTAATAAATTTCTTAAAATGTACTGTTGTCATTTTTAAGAAGTCTATTACTTTTTTTTATAAAGCCTAATATTTTTCATTATAATAAGCTCAGACATCCATGGATTTTGATACTTTTGAGACTATAATGCTAGATTTCTTATTATAAAGCATTTCTTTAATCCAGTGACTCTGAAGTATTATTTAACATTATAGAGACTATATATCATATTAATTTAGATCATAAATTAACATAAATGGTTTGATAGAAAAATTATGCGGGTAGTGTGGCAAGCTCTGCTTTTATGTTGAGATAATTTAGTTGGATAATGAGTTTATCAAGAGCAGTTCATGCCGGGACCGGTTTGGCTCAGTGGATAGAGCATCGGCCTGCGGACTGAAAGGTCCCGGGTTCGATTCCGGGCAAGGGCATGTACCTTAGTTGCGGGCACATCCCCAGTAGGGGGTGTGCAAGAGGCAGCTGATCGATGACTCTCTCTCATCGATGTTTCTAACTCTCTATCCCTCTCTCTTCCTCTCTGAAAAATCAATAAAATATATTAAAAAAAACACACACACACACACAAAAAAACAGTTCATGTTGAAATGCAGTATTGGATCTCCAGAGGGGAACCAAACACAAAGCAGAAGCAAACTGCAGCTTATGGGCACCACAGCTGAAGTTCTCTCCTGAAAATGTTCCATTTTGCATCTTGCTAAGAGCTGTGGTGACGTGCTCATCTAGCTTATAGACAGATATATTTTACATGTTTTTAAATTGAATTTGTTGGAATGACATTGGTTTGCAAAACCACACAGGTTGCAAGTATACAACTCACTAAAACCATCTGCACTCCGACATATGAGGGCCCAACATCCCAAGCAAACTCTCCATCCCCACTCCCCCCCCCCCCCCTTTGCCCACTCTCACCTACACCCCCCTCCCCCATTCCCTTTTCCCTCCGGCTATCACCAAACCAGTACTTGTTTGCTGGTTTATTGATGATAACCATTCTGACTGGTGTGAGGTGATATCTCATTGTTGTTTTAATTTGCATCTCTGATGATTAGTGATGTTGAGCATTGTGTCACGTGTCTATTGACCACTGTCCTTTTATGAGAAGTCCATTGAGGTCCTTGGCCCATTTTTAAAAGTGGATTGTCTGTTTTCCTGGTGTTGAGTCATGTAAGTTCTTTATATATTGGGAATTAACCCCTCAACAGATGTATCACTAACAAATATGTTCTCCCATACAGTGGGTTCCCTTTTCATTTTGTTGATGGTTTCTTTGCTGTACAAAAGCTTTTTAGTTTGATGTAGTCCCATTTGTTCATTGTTTCCTTTGTTTCCCTTACTCTAGGAGATGTATTTGGCAAAAATATTACTATGAGAGATGTCTGAGATTTTACTGCCTGCCTATGTCTTGTAGGGTTTTCATGGTTTTGCGCCTTACGGTACATTTAAGTCTTTTATCCATTTTGAGTTTATGGCTTGGCTGTGTGACTTGTGTGGAATTGATGGAAGCCACTTCCTTGCAAAAGCATTAAGTTCCGTCCTCTGGTTCCGCCATCTTTCCTGTCTTTCCTTTGTCACATGCTCATTGTACCCCAGATTGGGACCAGCACCCCTCAAGTCTGGGTGCCAGAATGAACATGTGAAGTTGCAGCCAACCTACAAAGGACATGTAATAGAATAAGAAATATATCTTGATTGTGATAAGAACCTGAGAGATTTTGGGGACATTAGTTACCACAGTATAACCTTGCCAGAGCTGACTATAAATAGTCTTTTTAGAACTGTAAAAACAACATAGCAGTATTAACATGACTTTCTAAAGAAAGCTAACCATAATTTATGCCCTAGTCTAACCAAATAGTTCTAAATTTTCCATATGCCTACGTGCGGATGTGCTGAAACAGACCATCGTACTTTATGTTGCTTCTCCCTCTGAACTTCAGAGAAGGAGCCAGGTGGCGGAGGAGGCCAGAGGAAGGGGCACCGCCCAGCACAGAGCTGTCTTGCCAGGCAGTGGAGTGAAACAGCAAAGCCATTTCCTCAGCTTCCTTAGACTTGGAAAAAGCAATGCCAGGTGTTTTCTTCCACAAACTCATTCCTGCTCGCGGGCCTGCCCAGGAAGAGCTAGGTATCAGCTCTGGTGTCATCTTCCATTCCCTGAGGTCTCAGCGCACCAGAGACTGAACCTGCCCGTGGGGTAGAGCTTAGGGGAATTCAGCAGCGAACAGTGCGGGCATCGGCCCTGCCCTCCTGGAGCCTGCAGTCAAGTGGGTCGGATAGTTTGTCCTGGAAGTGAAGGTTGGGGTATAAGAAGAGAAGTGACTTTAAGATTACTGTGTGGAGCGTGGGTTTTAAAGGGCCAAGTCTGGAAGCAGGAAGATCTGAAAGGCTCCATTGGAATTCATGTTCTTTGCCATGTTTTATGACTCACTCAAAAGTCACCTGTTTTTATCACTTCTCTCCCGGAAACTGAGTTCCTGGAGGACTCCCTTGGGCAGCCTCCAGCTCTGTGCTGTCATGGATAATGCCTTTTTTTTTTTTTTTTTTAAATATATTTTATTGATTTTATACAGAGAGGAAGGGAGAGAGAGCTAAAAACATCGATGAGAGAGAATCATTGATCAGTTGCCTCCTGCACCCCCCCCCCCACTGGGGATATGCCCGCAACCAAGGTACATGCCCTTGACTGGAATCGAACCTGGGACCCTTCAGTCCCCAAGCTGACGCTCTATCCATTGAGCCAAACGGGTCCCAGCGGATAATGCCTTTTTAACTAATGTGTCCCCCTCCCCCAGGCCCCCAGTCTAGGTAGCCCCATCCAGGCTCAGTCCTGCTGCTGTGATGCGGCCTCTTCATTCCTAAATCCTTCCTTTGTCTCACCGTCTCCAGCTTCAATAAACCTACTCTCACAATACCCGCTGCCTGAAATCTCTCCTGCCTGAAGTCAGGAACCCACACATTCCAGGCCTGGCGGCCACCTGCCGGAGCAGAGCTAGGGTGTGGGCGGGAGGGCGCCTCGCAGGCTGCCTGGTCTCCGCTTCTCCGGCTAGCAGGGCCTCTCTGGGGAATGTGTGTTTGCCATTCTATTCTGGGGAGCATTGGCCCACCCCTGGAAGGTCAATAGTGTCCGCAGATGTTTGAAGGAGGATGAAAGCGTTGCTATTCATGCTGCTAGAATCTGAGACTTTTTTTTTTTTTTAAACCGAGAACCCACAGCAAAAGGTGGGTCCCTTGGCCAGGGAAAGGAATGTGGTGTGGGGAGCAGGATGGAGAATTGGGGCAGGGCTGCACAGAGGGAGGGCGGAGCCCGGGGTTAGGCCAGGTGGCTTCTAGCGGGAGTGGAGGGTCCAGCGGGCTGAGGCCCTGGGCTGAGGCCCCTCCACCCAGCGGAGGCCCAGCCACCAGGTGTGTGGGGAGGGAGGGGGCGGGGCGGGGAAGGGTCCTGGCCCCGCCTCCCTGGCCCAGCCGCCCAGTGATTCGCTCCTCTGGGAGGGGGCGGGCCGTTAGCTTAAATCTGGCCCCGCCTCCCTGGCCCAGCCGCCCAGTGATTCGCTCCTCTGGGAGGGGGCGGGCCGTTGGCTTAAACCTGGCCCCGCCTCCCTGGCCCAGCCGCCCAGCCATTGGCTCCGCCGGGGGTTCCACGCTCCTGGCTGTGGTCCGGCGCGGGCCATTCACTTAAATCCACCCGCGCTCCTGGTCCCGCTGCTGAGACCCTATCCTGCCAGACCTCACCCATCACCGGCGGACACCATGCGGCGCCTCCCCTCGGCCCTGCTCCTGCTGCTGCCGCCGCTACTGCTGCTGCCGAGCCCCGCGGCGCCCGCCGTCCCCGCCGCCCCGGCCCGCCCGGGCTTCCCGGCTCGGGGCTCCCGTGGCCCCGGGGGCAGCCCCGGCCGCCGCCTCGCTCCGGGGGCCGGCCAGCCCGGAGGGGCCGGGGCTTCAGGTACTGTCCGGGCTGGGGCTGGGGCTGGGGCTAGGGGTCGGGGTGAGGGATGGGGGGAAGGACACCTGGTAGGGGCGCAGTGGGAGGGATGCCCGGCGTCAGTGCGTTCCTTCCCTCCCTGGTGCAAACTGAGGTTCAAAAAGGATGGAGCCGGGGCTAGGGGGTCCTTGGGAGCAATGCCACCTCTCTTTTGAGTCAGTAGTTGGCTCATGTGGCAGAAAAAGCTTCCAGAGTAGCGGATGTTTACCAGGTACAGGAGATTGTGTTGACTCCTGTGATGGAAAACGTTGCCTCAGAGAGAGGAAACCATGTGGGAAAAGCTCCGAAGGCTGGGCGTCGGGATTCCAACCCATCATCTACCACTTTCTGGCTCTTCCTCCCCCCGGAGACCCAGGCTTCTTGTCTGGAAAATGGGTAGAAAAACAGCCTCTGCACCTCTGACCTCACAGGGTTGTTGTGTTGGTACCCTGTGATCTCTAAAGTGCTATTGATGGCAGGATATTATTATTTTCCTAATCAAATACCTCCAGGCAGCAGGATAAAACCAAAAGGGTCATTTTCAGGGTGTTTTTTTTTTTTTTTTTTTTAAACTAGAGAGTTATATAATTCCTGCCCCATGCTTAGCCTCGGAATTTATTTTGAATCTACCTTTTCCCTACTCACTTGAGTAGATTGCCTTCGAGTAGCATCAACTCCCAGCCCCATTAGGAAAGGAAAGACGTTTGATTGGCAGTTAATGTCCAGGGATCTTATTTCCATTTAACACTTGGTGTGTGTGTGTGTGTGTGTGTGTGTGTGTTGGGAGAAAAGGAGGAATGACTTGAAAAAGGACATTTAATAACTGGCTTCTCTCTAAGCCTCCTGACCTGGATTAGGCCCAGCGGCTCAGTGGCCGCCACTGCCCTGGGGGGGATCGGGGAGCAGTGGGGACGTGTTTCCTCTCCCCTCTCTCCAAAAACGTTGGTGAATGAACAAATAAGAGGTGACTAAGCATTTGATGGGGACATGGGGTTGGTACCAAGTCTCAACCTCTGTGTCTTTACACCAGAAGCACCACCGAGTAGGAAGTGCAGTGCCTCAAGCAGACGAAGATGGCTTCCCTCTCTCCACTTCCAACGTAGCTCAGGCTAGTTGGGCCCCTGCGTTCACTGAACATGAATTAATGACCAGCTAGAGCAGGGGTCGGCAAACTGCGTCTCGAGAGCCACATGCGGCTCTTTGGCCCCTGGAGTGTGGCTCTTCCACAAAACACCACGGCCTGGGCAAGTCTATGTTGAAGAAGTGGCGTTAGAAGAAGTTTAAGTTTAAAAAATGTGGCTCTCCAAAGAAATGTCCATCGTTGTACTGTTGATATTTGGCTCTGTGGATTAATGAGTTTGCTGACCACCGGCTAGAGAGAGACTTAGGGCTGCTCTGGAGCAGTGTCCACCCCAGGGAAGTGGGCAGGGTGGCGTGCAATGCGGCCGCCCCGACAGTGGTCTTGCACGCTGTTCAGGGACTCTATACCCCAGTGCCTCAGAGAGCCAAGGCGCCCCAGAAGGGTCTGGAATCCACTCCTCCCTGGGAGACCAGAGGATCCTTGAGTACAAAACCTGAAGCAAAGGGATGAGGTTCGAAGTGAAATTTAAGGGTTCAGCCAGCCTGCAGGTGAGATATTGGGGTAGATAGCCTTAGAGTGGCATCAACTTCCAGCCCCTATTAGGAAAATGAAATGGTGTAATTCGCAGCCTCATGTAATTCTCCTCAGGGGGAGATTCGGAAGGCCTATGGGCTGTCAGCATCCAAAGGGAGGTGGCCTTTTGGGTGATAGCAGTCAGCGGGCCTTTGGGAGGTAGGGGGTACTGCCTTGCCTGACCCTTCTGGGGGTGAGGAACTGCCCCGTTTCTGACTGTGGTCAGATCACTGCTTAGTCACTTCTGCTCCCCACACCTTCCTCGCAGGCTTTTGCAAGAGCAGGCCGCTGGACTTGGTGTTTATCATCGACAGTTCCCGCAGCGTCCGGCCCTTGGAGTTCACCAAAGTGAAAACCTTCGTCTCCCGGGTCATCGACACCCTGGACATCGGGCCGGCGGACACGCGGGTGGCCGTGGTGAACTACGCCAGCACCGTGAACATCGAGTTCCACCTGCAGACCCACCTGGACAAGCAGTCCCTGCAGCGGGCCGTGGGCCGCATCACGCCCCTGTCCACGGGCACCATGTCGGGCCTGGCCATCCAGACAGCCATGGAGAAGGCCTTCACGGTGGAGGCGGGAGCCCGGGCGCCCGGCTCCCACATCCCCAAGGTGGCCATCATCGTGACGGACGGGCGGCCCCAGGACCGGGTGAACGAGGTGGCGGCCCGGGCGCGGGCGGCGGGCATTGAGCTGTACGCGGTGGGCGTGGACCGGGCGGACCGGGAGTCCCTCCGCATGATGGCCAGCGAGCCCCTGGACGAGCACGTGTTCTACGTGGAGACCTACGGGGTCATCGAGAAGCTCTCCTCCAGGTTCCAGGAAACCTTTTGCGGTAAGTCTTTGCAGCTAGCCAGGATGCTCTAGTCCAACCTGATGAAGCAGAAGAAAAAAAAAAAAAAAAGAATTCTTTCCTTTTCCTTTTTTTTTTGGTGGAAATTTTATGGAAAACGTAAATAGAAGCAATGCTGTTTGTGTCTTTTTTTTTTTTTTTAACCAACGTAAACACACTTTGTTGGTTTAGGAATATAGAGCTGCCTTCTCTATAACTTGGATGGCTCCTGAAAGCCCCATGTTTGCATTAGAGATGGGAAGGTCTGGGAATAATCCTGGATAAATGATCGCGCTGTTCCCCGACAGGGTCAGAGGAAAATAAAAATAAAACACACAGGACGGCTCTCCTCCCTCCTGCCCAGCCCTGCATCTCCCCCCCAATATCTTCTCCAGTTTGCCCGCGTCTAGCGTTCACAAAACGCCTCTTTTTCCCGCTGAAGGAGGGCTGGTGTGTGTCCATGCAGGGCTGGGTGGCCTGCTGCTGCGTGCCTGGCAGGCAGTGTGGCCGTGCAGGGGTGCCCCAGCTCTGAGGCTCCCTTCCTTCGGACCATTCTTCCTGGAGGGATAGGGCAGGAGTCAGGGGGATTGGGATTTCAGCCCACTTCACAGATAGAAGGAGAGGGCTTTTTGTTTGTTTTTGTTTGTTTGTTTTTAAAGGAACATCTGCAATACTTTCAATAATAACGGTTTTTAAAATTTATTTTATTTTATTTTTAAATCTTCATCTGAGGATATTTTTTCCACTGCTGATTTTTAGAGAGAGTGAAAGGGAGCAGGAGAGACAGAGATACCGATGTGAGAGAGACACATCAAATGGTTGCCTCCCACATGCCCCTGACCAAGGCAGGCACTTATATCCAAGTTACATGCCCTTGACCGGAATCGAACCCAGGACCTTTCAGTCCACAGGCCAACGCTCTATCCACAGAGCCAAACCGGCCAGGACTCTGTTTGTTTTTGTAAATCCTTCTGTTACTCTCCTCATTTATTCCTTTAGGATGGTGGAGCTTGAAATTGGAATTTTTAGCAAGAATTAGCCAAATTCATGAATCAATCCATTTGAGACTGGAGTTTATTATTAGTCACTGATCAGAATTATGAATGTGGGACTTTTACTATATTTTTTTACCTTATTTTTAAACTTATTTTTCTTATAATCTATCATCTATATCTATCATCATGCTTTATTCTCCTTATTTATTTATTTTTATTTTTTTGTCATTTGGAGATAATCTTTTGAAGCCCTCTTTGGAAGTCTCCAAGCAGGCATAGACAGATTTCTAGTTAAGGTGAATTTTAGAATGTGGATACTTTTTGCTGTACAATCTATTCCACACTTATTTATTTAACATGCATTTATTGACCAGCGATGACACAAAGATGAAATTTGTCCCTCCCTACCGTCAAGCAGTGGTTTGGCGTTGAGGATGAGACAAACCAGTGAAGTAATGATTCCAACTGTGTAGTTCAAGGGGACTCTATATCCGAACAAAGGGAAACTCAGCCATCACCCGTCTGCCAGGAAATGGGAGCTGAAGCGTGGTCTGGAGCAGAGCTTGGCCTCCTCTCCGCCAGACCTGGCTGTTCCCCCGGTCTTTCCTGTCCCAGGACACTGGGCCCTCACAGGCTGTCGTTGGTTTTGGTGGCATCTCCTTGGCATTCATTGGTTTTCCCAAAGGAAAATGGCCGTCTTTCTCCCAGGAAGACCCCCGTGCTTGTGGAGGAGAGCTTGCCATAGAGACGTTGGTCTGTGGCAAAGTTGGCTCCCAAAACCAGCACCTGGGGTTGGGCTTGAAGGCCATGGGGTAATACGTGGTGAGTGGCAATCTTTTCCTCCTGATACAAAAGGCCTGCTTGTTCTGGGGAAAAAGACTGAGGAGCAAAAGCAGCTTGTGGTGGTTCAAGGACTAGAAGGATCATCCCATGAAAAGGCTCTTCTTGGGAAAATATTAGGCTTGTCCCTTGGCCAACGCAGTGGAGGCTGGTTACCTGCCCCAGGGGCTCCAGCTTCCTCCTACAGAAATGACTAAATTCATTGTGTCTTCGTTCAAAACATCTCACCAGGAAAAAAAAAAGCCAGCGAGATATAAATGGCTCTAGAAGGGAAAAGATGGAGATGCAGTTTAGCTAATATAGTTGAGTTTATTTATTATTATTATTTTTTTACATGTTTGTGTTATAGCGATTGAGTTTATTCTCCTAACTGATGATATCAGAGGCCCTGAAGTTGCGTATGTTTAAGTTTGCTGCCTATTGTCACCTGCACTGCCATTCCCCATTGTAAGTTCATATATGCCCAAGTGTGAGCGAGTTCTGGGCCCTGAGGAACCACCTGTGTGTGAATTCTGTTTGGACACACACCATAGAACCCCCAGAAACCAGATTCCAGCTGCAATAGGACAGTTAGCTCAGCGAACTTCAGGAAACACATGATTGTCTTCCCCGTTTCTGGCTTTGGGAAAACAAAAGTATTTTTTCATGGGTAGGAGGATACATTGAATGAATATCCAATTGCCTGACCCATAAGAATTATCTCTTTCCCTCCTCCTCCCCCTCCCTCTCCTCCCCCTCTTCCTTTTCCCCTTCCTCCTCCCCCTTCTCCCCCTCTTCCTCCTCTTTCCCCTCCCCCTCCCCCTTCCCCCTCTCCTTCTCCTCCTCCTTTTTTTTCTCCTCCTCCTCCTCCTTCTTTTGGAGACAGTTAACAGTAAGATCTATGATTTAAAATTAGTAACATGACTAGTCTAGGGATGGTATTTCTAGCCAGGGCAGAAACAGATAGTAAAAATTGACAGTGAAGTAAAGCTAGAACTGGAAAGAAACCAGAGAGCAATGTCTTTCTTAAACGGGAGAAAACACCTGAAATGTTCACGTGTCTGTCTCACGGTGGTCTGCTTCCTTTGCACAGCAGCGGACCCATGCATGCTTGGCACACACGGGTGCCAGCACGTGTGTATCAGTGACGGGAACGGCAGGCACCACTGTGAGTGCAGCCAAGGGTATTCCTTGAATGCCGATAAGAAGACGTGTTCAGGTGAGGCCTGCGTATGGGAGGGGGGGGTTGTGGGGGTGGGCGCGCATAGGGGGGGACTGAAGGGGACTTAGATTTGGGGATCTACTCTCCAGGTTTTGGCCTGGCCTTGTGCTGTTCTCCTAATTGACTTTAAAAAAAAAAAAAAAAAATATATATATATATATATATATATATATATATATATATATATATATATATATATTATTGATTTTTTTACAGAGAGGAAGAGAGAGGGATAGAGAGTTAGATACATCGATGAGAGAGAATCATCGATCAGCTGCCTCTTGCACACCCCCCCCTCCCCACTGGGGATGTGCCCACAACCAAAGTACATGCCCCTGACCGGAATTGAACCTGGGACCTTTCAGACCACAGGCCGACGCTCTATCCACTCAGCCAAACTGGTTTCGGCCTCATTGACTTTTGGCTGATGTATTGTTGTTTATCAAAAGGAAAAGGAGAAGAAAAGTGAGGTGATATACAAATCAGCCTGTTATGGTACAAAATTCTTGGTCCTTTTGAGGGTTTGGAGTTTTTTGTGGATTTTATTTAATTAGCTACCCTTTCCTCTCTGTGGCCACGGATGCTCAGGGGATCTAGAAGAAAACGTAGAGAGGGCCTCACTCATGTGGGGTGGGCAAACTCACTCACAGGCCACGAAGAATGGCCTTAAATCCTGGAAAAAAGTGTTTGAGGAGAAGGAAACTTAGAGATCATTTAATTCAACTTACTTATTTTAAAGGTAATAAATTAAGACGCAAAGAAAGGAGACTTACTCATGCATGGGGTCTGTGAGTAAAAAGCCGAGACCAGAAAGTTGGTTCCCAGCTTCCAGCCCTGTAGTCTTCCTGTTGTGCCGAGCTGCCCGCAGATGTGTATGTGCATGTGTATGTGCATGCATGTGCATGTGTGTGTATGTGTGTGCATCTGTGTATGGTCTATAATTATTGATTCACGCTTCCATGTGTTCACATGTATCCTGATCGTTTTCGATAGCCATCGATAAGTGTGCTCTGAACACTCATGGTTGTGAGCACATCTGTGTGAACGACAGAGCTGACTCTTACCACTGTGAGTGCCATGAAGGTTACGCTTTGAAGGAAGACAGGAAAGCGTGTGCAGGTAAGCGGGAAGAGGTCACTGCTGCCACCTCTTTGCCTGCCTGGCTGTGAGCAGTGGTGGAGGGCGGGTCACACTGATGAGAAACTTCACCTGTTTTCCTCTTTTGCCACCCTGGCTTTTCCTGCTTCTGGGTGTTGTTAGAAAACGTAGAAAAGGCCGTATCATAGCCCACATGTGTAAGAGTGTTGTTCATTCCTTCTCTGTGCCAGCCCTAACAGTCCTTTCCAAATGCTAAAGACAACTTAGTCTGTTGACATCAAGTAACACCCCTCAGGATATTTATTACTTGCAGAGGGGAAATAGTAACGTCAGAGTGAGGCAATCTGGCAGACACCAGTTTCGCCAAGCGATCCAAGTTGACCTCAACACCAGGGACGTGGAGTGACATCATGCATCTCCTGACACCATGTACTGAGGACACAGGAGCGCTTCTGTGGTATTCTTGCTAAAATTTCAGAATCACGAGGGAACATCAGACAAATCCAGACTGAGAGATAGCCTACAAAGTGTCAGAGTCATGAAAGGCAGGAAATATTACAGAGAGGAAGGGAGAGAGATAGAGAGCTAGAAACGTCGATGAGAGAGAAACATCGACCAGCTGCCTCTTACACACCCCCTACCGGGGATGTGCCTGCAACCAACCTACATGTCCTTGACCAGAATCGAACCCGGGACCTTTCAGTCTGCAGACCGACGCTCTAGCACTGAGCCAAACTGGTTTCGGCCTAATCTGTATTTTAGTTAGTATTGTATTAGTGTTAAGTTCCTGGTTTTGATAATTACACTATGGTTATTTAATATGTTAACATCTGGGGAAACTGGGTAAAGAATAGGACCTCTCTGTACTATTTTTGCAAGTTTTTCATATACCTGAAATTTCAAAGTGAAAAGTTTAAAAAGAAAAAGAGTAATTAAAAAAAAATCTCATGTCAGTTCACGGAATAAGTGCATTGAGTGCATTGGGTTTTGAGTTCTGATGCTCTTCCGAATCAGTGGGTCTCCTATGGACTCAGTTTCCTCACTTACAATGGGCGAGGGTTGAACTACACTTTCTTCAAACTGTATGTCTTTCTGAATCTAGGAGAAGTAGCTACCCAACTGTTGCTATTGCTCTGATTCAGTAAAAGCACAAATAAACCCAAAAGGAATGCTTTAGAAAGCATTTTATGATCTATTTAGATGATGAACACTCAATATAGATGGTTCTGAGAAGAGTTGGGAAAGTAGAACGAGTACTGTGTGTGTGTCGGATTTTGTTGAACTCAGCTGGCTTCCTACGTATTTCTGTATATATGTACTATATTGGATTTTTTTTTTTTAATATTGTTGAATTTCTTCTCTCCTGGGCTTTTGTCTGACAGCTCAAGACCAATGTGCCTCGGGGACACATGGCTGTCAGCACATTTGTGTGAATGACAGAGCTGGGTCCCATCACTGTGAATGCTACGAAGGCTACAGCCTGAATCAAGACAACAAAACCTGCTCAGGTAAGGCACTCTCAACAAGCACTTTCCCACATGGCTCCTGCCCATTGCGTTGAAACCAACCTGCAGTTTCCCAAGAGAGAGATTCTTCGCTGAAGTTGGTTTGGCTCAGTGGTAGAGCGTCGGTCTGCGGACTGAAAGGTCCCAGGTTCAATTCCGGTCAGAGGCATGTACATTGGTTGCGGGCACATCCCCAGTAGGGGTGTGCAAGAGGCAGCTGGTCGATGTTTCTCTCTCATCGATGTTTCTAGCTCTCTATCTCTCTCTCCCTTCCTCTCTGTAAAAAATCAATTAAAAAAAAAAAAAAAAAGAGAGAGAGAGAGAGATTCTTTGAGGCAATGTAGAGAACCAGGCTTCAGACATTGTACTGTGCTCGCAGACTAAGGCGCGCATTGCTTAAAGGTCAGTGAGCTCAGCAGAATCAGCAAACGTGGATGACTTTGGGAAATGGCTGGGAAATGGGTGGGGAGTGGGGGGTATGAGGCAAGCTCAGTGAATGGAGGGTCCTCGTCCAGGAAAATGTGGTAGCTCTGTACACTGGGGGCTTGTAACGCAAACGGGAAACCTGAGAGGAAGTCAGTTGGACGGGAGCTGTTTGGTGTGATAGGCTGAACTGATCTTTTTCCAATTAAAACTTGGCTTTGAACTTTCCTGATCGTGTGAGTAAAGGAGACTTTGTCAGTGACTGAATGAGACCCACATGGATCTTCCAGTAAGTTCGCGGCAAGCCGTTCCCTGACAGTTTCTAGATGATCAATCTTCGAAGCATCTGAGACTTGGCTGGCGCACCCATGCCCGAACTCAAATCCTCATTAACTTGATTTAAACTCACTGGCAGAACACAGTGACATTTATAATGCGAAAGCACTCCTAAGAGAAACTCCCAGCTCTCCAGGAGCTGTTTAGTCCTGGCATATTTATTTTTAGATTTTATGTATAGTTTTCCCTCCCTTGAGGAGATATATTAGGTGCCCTTTACAAGAGGGATGAAGGGGCCGGGACCGGTTTGGCTCAGTGGATAGAGCGTCGGCCTGAGGACTGAAGGGTCCCGGGTTCGATTCCGATCAAGGGCATGTACCTTGGTTGCGGGCGCATCCCCAGTAGGGGGTGTGCAAGAGGCAGCTGATCAATGATTCTCTCTCATCGATGTTTCTAACTCTCTATCCCTCTCTCTTCCTCTCTGTAAAATATCAATAAAATATATATATTAAAAAAAAAAAAAGAGGGATGAAGGGAAATGGCCATTGCCAATTTCCTTTGTAAAAAAAAAAATGGGATCAGTGAAAGAGAACTGAGCACCTGTTTTGTCCCCAGGGCTGCTGAGCACTGTGCACATATAAAGCGTAAGTTTCAGCCTCTCTTTACGGGCAAATGTCTTATGTAAGCGGAGAATTAAGAAGCCAGGGAGAGGGACTGATGGTAGGTAAGGGCTGGGATGGAGAGCATGTTCACTTGTTATCTCTAGTGAGTGTCAACGTGAGAAACATCCAAACCTGTAAGAATTTGTATGAGTTTATTTGAGCCAAACTGACAACAATTGCCGGGAAGCAGAATCTCACTGGATGGAGCAAATGCTCCAGAAAATGGCAGCTTTGCCACTTAAAAAAAATTGGTTTGAGAGAGAGAGACAGACAGACAGACCAACAGACAGATATCGATGTATGAGAGACACATTGATCAGTTGTCTCCTGGATGTGAAGGCAACCTGGGTATGTGCCCTGACCAGGTGACCCTTCAGTGCATGGGATGATGCTCAACCAACTGAGCCACACCAGCCAGGGTTTACCACTTACCTTACACATGGGAATCAAAAGGGAAGATGTAAGTGATAGATTAGGGAGGCTGGAGAATGCAAAGTGGGTCTGGATACACAGTAAAAGGAATAGACACATACTTCTTCTCCACAGGTGGACAGGTAGGATGGGTAACAGTCAACTATTAGCATGATAATAACAATGAGGGGATTTGCGATCTCCACTCTGGCGCAGTGGTTGTGCTTTGAAGGGTCTGGAAAAAAGAATTATTTTGATATTCCAAAGGTATGCTATCGGGCACATTATCTTCCATCCAAAGAGACAACAGACAGCCTCAGTTAAGGTGAAGGTTGATCGTTGTTGGGAAAAACACTGCCCTCGGACATGACTCCCTGCCTTGAACTGCTTTTAGTTAGAAAGTTTTAACTTCAGACCCTCCTATATGGCTACTTTCCATCTCTGAGTATGTCAGGTTTAGTATGTGGCCCCTTTTCCGTCCACATGAGCGACACGGAGGTGGTGGGGCTGGCGGTGTGCCTTTGAGGACGGTGACAGTTGGATGGAGGAGTGGAGAGATGGGACAAGCCAGGGGACTGGCTTGTGCTGGCTGTTCAGGGCGGTAGGGCTGTCAGGTGGGGTGCACCTTCTCAAATCATTACAGCGATCCCACTTGGCACTTGAAGCTGCCAGGAACATTGACGTCCTGGGAAAAGGACACAAGAACAAATGTACATTTCAACTAACAGGTGTGGAATAAAGGGACATTTTATTTAAGAATACCCACAAAACATCAAAGGCAATTTTCAGTCTAGGCAGACTACTCCAGGAATATACCCACTAACCAGGACAGGCAGATTACTAAGTAACTTGTCCACAGTCACTCAGCTAATAAACAGCAGAGCCAGGATTTGAACCCAGGTACTTGCGCTGGGATACATGTGCTCATAACACTAAGCTATACTGTCTCATGGTACAGGGCACAAGCTGGCAAAGGGAGGTAGAAGAGAAAGACAAGATGGTGGATTCATACATGTCATCATCATCATCGTGTGTGTGTATGTGTGTGTGTATGTGTATGTGTGTGTGTGTGTGTGTGTGTGCAGGTCAGTGCTTTTCTGTCTCACTTTGTAAGCTATCAACGGCAGGCCCTCCATCATTCAAGATCCTTTTTTAAAAAAAAAAATATATATATTTTATTGATTTTTTACAGAGAGGAAGAGAGAGGGACAGAGAGTTAGAAACATCGATGAGAGAGAATCATCGATTACCTGCCTCTTGCACTCCCCCTACTGGGGATGTGCCTGCAACCAATGTACATGCCCTTGACCGGAATCGAACCCTGGACCTTTTAGTCCGCAGGCCGATGCTCTATCCACTGAGCCAAACTGATTTCGGCTCAAGATCCTTTTTGTTCAGCATCAAATTTAGCTCCATGTGTAGGTGGTCCCTAATAATAATTTAATGGGGGTGACGAAGCCCCATGTCTGATTGGAGGCGTTGGAGGCGGTGGGCATCAGTAAAGTTCTGAAGGTGAGTTCTGGAATATCATCAAGACTCAGTGCAGCCCAGGGCTGCGGGTCGGAAAACAGAGCAGCACCCCCAGATGTGGGCCAGAAAAAACAAACAAACGGCAGGGTGTATGCACACACAGGCAGGCTAAGGGGATCTGAGATACAAGAAAGCAGGCTTTCTTCCTGCAGCACAGGGGACACTTGTTGCTGATGACACCTGCCGGGACCAGACAGAGCTTTTCCTGCCAGGAGTCTGGGCTTCGTTTCCCGTGGTAATTTGTGACTGTTTCCCTCCCTGGTCAGTTCGTGACAAGTGTGCCCTGGGCTCTCACGGCTGCCAGCACATCTGTGTGAGTGATGGAGCCGCGTCCTACCACTGCGATTGCCATACCGGCTTCACCCTGAATGAAGACAAGAAGACGTGTTCGGGTAAAGACTGGCCCTTTAATCCTATTCCGTCTGGTAGGACAACCTAGGAGTGAGCTCTTTTCTCTTAAAGCCTGAGGCACGGTCTTCCTGTTGGAATTCTCCAGGGGTTCCCACTTGGCATCAGAATGAAATAATTCTATTCCTCCCGTGATATGGTTCTGTTCTGTTCTCTCTCTTTCTCTCTCTCTCTCTCTCTCTCTCTCTCTCTCTCTCTCTCTCTCTCTCTCTCTCTCTCTTTTTCAAATTAAAAAGCAAAATTACTCTTGGGCTTTTCTTTTTCTTTTTTTTTTTTCTCTCCTGGAAAATGGGATTCTGACATGATTTATAACGGTTTAGGCTCTGACCTCACTTGCCCAGTCATTCCCTGAGTTATTTGTTCAGCAGCTATTCATGGAGCTGCTGTTACATGTCAGGTACTGTTAGATCTTGAGGAAGGAGCTGGAGAGGAACCAATGTTTTTAAAAAAAATAGATTTCCTTATTGATTTCAGAGAGGAAGGGAGAAGGAGAGATAGAAACAGCCCCTGCCCTCACGGAGCTTACAGTCTTCCAGGCAACATACACCGGAAAAGTAGCCTCCGTACCAATGTTATACTCTGCCCCCGGATGACGGGTGGGCTGTACCACATCCAGAAGCTACAGTCTGGTTTACTAATCCATTGAGACGGGGTTTGAGATGGCCCTCCCTAAAAGGTTCAGTAGGGTTTGGACAGGTAGATAGATTATATTTACTCAAGAGTGCATTTGTCCTCCAGCTCTCCATCACTTCTCTGTAGACTGTGGGAGAAAATGTAGGAGCCAAGGCCCACTGCCTGCCCTCGGGCAGTAGTGCTATTCCTTGGGAGGCTGTTCTTATTTCTATGAGGCAATTGCAGAGGCTATGGGATTGAGTAGGAATAGCTTCCTCATCTGAATCACAGGAAGAAACAAGAAGTAGCATTATCAGTCTTCCAGGTTCTTTGATTACATGTCAATGCAACTTTAGTTCCAAAGTATGTATGTATTTATTTTTAAATACATTTTATTGATTTTTTTGCAGAGAGGAAGGGAGTGGGATAGAGAGTTAGAAACATCAGTGAGAGAGAAACATTGATCACCTGCCTCCTGCACACTCCCTACTGGGGAGTGCCCGCAACCAAGGTACATGCCCTTGACCAGAATCAAACCTGGGACCTTTCAGTTCGCAGGCCGAGGCTCTATCTACTGAGCCAAACTGGTTAGGGCTCTAATGTATTTATGGGCCTGGGATAGGGTTAGAGGAGGGGAGGGGGCTGGTGCATGCTAGAAGGGGCCAATGGGGAAAAAAAGGGAATATATGTAATACTTTCAACAATAAAGATAAAAAACCCCCAAACCCAAAGTATTTATGGATAAGAACTAGAACTCTCATTTTAAGCAATTCAATAGAATTAATAGCCCATTTAGGAAATCAGGAATTATCTAGTTTTAAACCTTGAACCTATTTTGGATGCACCAGTAGAGGTTTTCTCATTTTCATTTTTTAATGAGGACACGGTATCACAAGATTAGCTGTCTTATCTCTGCGTTCTTGGCTTCCCGCTACACTATCTTTTTAAAAATTTGCTTTATGTCCTGGGAAATTTCAGGCAATCACAAAAGCACAGAGAAAATAGAATGAGCTCACATATAACCATCACCCACCTTCGACAGTTGTAAATTTGTCCCCAGCATTTCCTAATTCAGTTTCTCCTGTGACATTACCATCCCAGAGGATGCTGTCCTCTTTGTGTGTGCTCCGTACCCTTTACCTTCCAGAAAATTCATTTAGGTGGGCCTTAAAAATGGGACTGTCGAGTCATGGATTTCTAGACTTGCTATGATTTCTAATTAACCACCGCATTTCATGTCCTGTCACTGTCACCAGCCATTCAAGAAGCTAGAAGTCTCATCTCCACAAAAGATGCCTGTGGGTGTGAGGCCACGCTGGCATTCCAGAACAAGGCCGTCTCGTATCTGCAGAGACTGAACACCAAGAATATCCTTTCTGGGAGCCTTTCTGCTTAAAGCCTTCTTCTCTTCTATTTGTAACGATTTTATGTCAACATTTATAACTTATTTATTGTGTGGATCCATTTTGTGTTCATAATAGTTGTACTGATAGTTCAATCCAGATGATTTTAAAAAAATGGGGGCCTCCTGGTCAAAGAAATTTAATTGAAAGATAATTTCACTATGCGTGTATTTGTTTGTGTAAGTTTACTTCAGGGAAGTATGATAGAGTGATCAAGAAAAGATTTCCGAGATTCAAGGTAGAATAGAATTCCGTGAAGAAAGTAGAAAGGAAATAAAAAGTTTTTTGTTTTAAATATTTTATTTTAGAAGAATACAAGGTATCAATGTAGTATGCTTTTAATGTAACTTGGAATACATTTGAAAGGTTGATTTAAATTTTATTTTAAAGTCAATATTTATAACAGCAGAAATATACTAGTATATTTTATAACTAAGACTTATGAAATTTTCATATAACTTAAATATGCACAAGACACCACTTATTTGTTAAATTATTTTAGGAGGTATATGAGCAAATATTTGAAGACTACTGCTTTATATCATGCTTCCTAAAAAAAAAAGAACTTCCGAGTTTTAGATTATATTAGACTTGAGCAAACATTTTTACTCATTTTCTTTATTTACAATGGAATGTAACTATTTTCTTTTGTGTTGAAGTGTTTGGAAGTGTGTGTATGTTTTCTAATGTCAAAATAAATGGTGTTGGCCTTAACAGCTAACCACTTGATGACATTTTGGAGAAGTTGCAAGCAAATGAATATGGACAAATACATCAGTAAGCTGCTCAAAATTTCACCCTGGCCAGTGTGGCTCACTTGTTTGAGCATCATCCAATGCACCAAAAGGTCGCCAGTTCGATTCCAGTCAGGGTTACATGAGTCTCCACTTGGGGGTATAAGGCAGCCAATCAATGTTTCTATCTCACATCGATGTTTCTCCCTCTCCCTTCCTCTCTCTCTAAAATCAATATAAATGATCTTTAAAATTGCTCACAAGTTTCACCTGGAAATATGGAGAACTTGCTGTATTTAATACTTCTGTATGTTCCAATGGTGCTAATTATCTGCCATTAAAATGCTTGAATACGTAGTCTGAGAATCTTCTGGAGAATCAGTATTATTTTTCTAAGAAAACAAATGCCCAGATCCTTAATTTAATGCAAACTTTAGTGTCTTTAAGTTATGACTATGAAATGGTTGGTAGGAAATAGAATGAAAAGTTTAACATTTCTTTCTTTACTAATTGAGCCATTTCATTTTTTTTTTCAGTTCCTAAGTTCTCATTCTATTCTCAAACACAGTATGTTATTTCTATAATTATATTCATATTATATATTCATCACAGATATTTTTAAGTGTACAATATATAAAGAATAAAAATCACCTGTACAAAATTACTAACAGTGTGCTATTTTTCCCCAGTGTTCTTCCTTTATAAATGTACATTTTAAAATTCTTTTTTTTTTTTAAATATTGAATTTATTGGGGTAACATTGGTTAATACATTTATAGAGGCTTCAAGTGTACAATTTTATATACATTATCTGTGTATTGTGTGTTCACCCAGTGTCAAGTCTCCTTTCATCAGCACTTATCTCCCCCTTTTACCCCTTCTACCTGCCCCCACCTCCCTTTCCCTCTGGTAATCATCACCAGATTGTTGTCTGTGTCTATGAGTTGTTGTTTTTTTTTTTAATCTATTCTACTGATGGACACTTGGGATGCTTCTGAATCCTGGCTGTTGTAAATAGCATTTCAATTCCTTACAGAAACAGTCAAAACCCAGAACCAGTAAAAAATCTAAAATACAAACTTTAAAGGGAACAAATGAAAAATAAACATGTCAAGGCAGTATATATTTTATGAAACGTATATTGTTATTTCTCAACATTTTTGGGAGGACATGACATAGAGTAGCATTATTTACCAAATGTATTTGAGCACAGGATCAATAATATATTAATACTAGAGGCCTGGTGCGCCAAATTCATTCATAGGTAGGGTCCCTAGGCCTGGCTGGTGATCAAGGCCTATCCGGGCCTTCTGGCTGCTGGCCAGAGCTTTCCTCCATTTTGCACTGCCCCCTGGTGATCAGCTCATGTCATAGAGAGCTATCAAACTCCCATCTCCCAGTCCAGTTCCCAAGGGGACACTTTGCATATTAGCCATATATATATATATATCACAGAGCAATGATGCTATAGAAGGAATAAATGAGACTTCATGTTCAAGAACTAAGGAAAAGTATTTAGATATGATTTTTCAAGCGTGTGACCATTAGTAACTAGCTTCGATTAATCATGTCTTAAATCCCCCTGGCTTAGATAATACTCATTTGATTCATGAGTCCAGTATAGGGTGCCTGTGAGAAGGTGCCAACATATCTTAGGAACTTAGTTTGGTGCTGAGAAAACGAATACCCATACATTTGAAAACAAAGACATAATTTATCTGAATGGGGTGGGGGTTAGGTTTGGAAAGGATTTCTCAGGAAGACCGGATCAATGCCTTTGGCCAAGAGGGTGGGAATGCCATTGGGTATATAACATGGCCTTAGAAGCAGAGAGGAATGGTTGGGCCCAGAAAGCATTTTGGCTTGCTTAGAGTAGGGCACCACAGGAAAGACATTTTAGGAGGGAGATATGATGTCAGCCAGAGTTTAGATTTGATAGAAAAGCAGCAGGGCAGTTGTCAATTCTTTTCTTTTATTAAAAAATATATTTTTATTGATTTCAGAGAGGAAGGGAGAGAGAGAGAGAGAGAAACATTCATGATGAGAGAGAACCATTGATTGGCTGCCTCCTGCATGTCCGCAACCCACGCATCGAACCTGGAATTGAACCAGGAAGCAAACAGTTGACCTCCTAGGTGGATGCTCAACCACTGAACCATCCAAGCCGGGACCTTGGTCAATTCTTGAGTGTGCTGGGTGTGGCCACAGACTCAGGTGAAGGATTGCACCTTACTTGCCTGAGAGGTTAAAAGACTCTAGGTGGGGAAATTGGCTACTGTTGCATACAATACACGCTAGATTATACAAGTCAGCGAATCAATGGCCACAGAATTGGGTTAAAGGGAAACCCGGAGGGGTAAAAATGTGTGAGGCAATGATTTCATGAGTTTTGGCCCTAGGGATCCAAATAGTGGTACTCTGTAAAACTTTCCAGGGATCCAAAAAGGCACTAAGGAGAATTGAGGAGAGACCTAAAGCAGGAAGAAGAGAATACTGAACAGTGGACTCCAGGGGACAAAATACCACGTGCCTCCGTTGTTTGAAAACGGAGAGGATTGTGCCATTCCAGGGGCCATTCCATGCTGCAGTGGCCCACAGCCCGCACCTGTTTTTACTAGGACCTGGGGCTGGAGGAACAGCGTGAGTAACCTGCGCACAGGTTCTGGATCATCAGAATGAACGCGAACGCCAGCCTCCAAATGGCTCCAGGGCGCTCTCGGGTCCCCGCAGGCCCGGGGAGGTTTGCAGACTTGGGAAACTGCCTGTGTGCCGTTCATTCGCCCGAAGGCGCCGACCTCCGGAGGCAGCGGACGAGGCTGGGCTTTGGGGCTCACAGGGGACTCAGTCATCGAATCGGCGGGCCCGGAGGGCACCCGGGGCCCCGGGGCGGGCGCTGGGGGGGGGGGGGAAGGGAGAGCGACGAGCCCCGCGGCCCCGGGGCCGCCCCGGGGGGACAGCGGCTCCTCCGGCCGCGCCGCGTCCGCGCAGGCGCACACCGCCCGCTGGCGCCGCGCGCGCCGACGCCGGAAGTGTCCCCGCGCCCCGGATGCGGCCGGTTGCCAGGGCGACGGGAGCTTCCCCGAACGGCTGGTCCAAGCCATTAGGACTCCAGAAAGAGTTCCTGGCGGCGGGCCTCCAGGATGTTCTTTTACCTGAGCAAGCGGGTGAGTGTTCCCGGGCGCCCGCCTCTCCGGCCCCGCATCGCCCGCCTCTGTCTCCTCCCCCCTCCTCCCTCCCTCCCTCCCTCCCTCCCTCCCTCCCTCCCTCCCTCCCTCCCTCCCTCCCTCCCTCCGGGTCCAGCCTCGGACCTGCTCCATCCCTCCCGGTCCAGCTGAACCTTCTCCCTTCCTCCCGGTCCAGCCTGAACCTCCAACCTTCCTCCCGGTCCAGCCTGAACCTCCAACCTCCCCCTCTCCATCCCTCCCTCCGGGTCCAGCCTCGGACCTCCTCCCTCCCGGTCCAGCCTGAACCTCCAACCTCCCTCTCTCCATCCCTCCCTCCGGGTCCAGCTGAACCTCCTTTCTCCCTCCCGGTCCAGCCTCGGACCTCCTCCCTCCCTCCCGGTCCAGCTGAACCTTCTCCCTTCCTCCCAGTCCAGCCTCGGACCTCCTCCCTCCCTCCCTCCTGGTCCAGCCTCGGACTCCCCCCCCCCCCCCCCCACACTCCTGGTCCAGCCTTGGACCCCCTCCCTCCCTCCCGGTCCAGCCTGAACCTCCAACCTCCCTCCCTCCGGATCCAGCCTCGGACCTCCTCCAGCCGGTCCCCAGGAGGCTCTGCCTCACCGGCCCAGGCTGGCTATTGGGCGGGGCCCGATGGACGGATCCGTGGGTGCTTCCCTGTCGTCCCTTCTCCACCTGTTGCCGATCCAGGTGACAAATTCTTTGGAAAAAGAATGACCACAGGGGAGGCCAAGTATGCGTGTGGAAGGGACATGTGGACGGATGGTAGGCATTCATAGCTCCGCGCCCCTTTAAAACCCCACTGGGCGGCCCCGCATTGGGTTCCTCTGCTGTGCCCTGGTTGGTGGGCACTTCGCTCTCTCTTTCCCCACGGGCAGCGCCCAGCGCCCAGCGGTTCAGGAACTGCACCCGTTGTCTTGGGGGGACTTGCTTCAGCCTTTTTTCTCCTGTAGACTCACTCTGCACCTCCTTCGGAGAAAGCTGTGAGCGGCTCTGCTTGCTTTTCAGATCGCCATCCCCAATAACGTGAAGCTCAAGTGTATATCTTGGAACAAGGACCAAGGATTCATAGCATGTGGG